GTTGTTCAAATTATGTCGTGTTTTATGTCATTTTCATCAGAAAAATCTCACCAATATGTTAAAAAAAATTCCAGATGTAAAAAAGTAAAATTAAAAATGTTGATATTTAAATCACTTAGTTGCCTCGAGTCACGTTTCATGCTTATCTTTTATTCGCTGTCCTTGTCTCCGTCCGGCAAACTACAAAGGTGGGCGCGAGGCTCGAAAACGTAGTCCCTGACTCTACGAGTGTCAGGTTTAGCTTTCTTGCGGTCTGACAGTTGTGGAAAATATACTGTACTACGATATAATACACATTATTTTATATTTTTCTAAAAAAAAAAAATTAAATAAATCGTACTATTTTTGTTATTTCTCAGTAAATATTCTACTGTCGTAATTCAATGTACAAAACTTAAATTTACACACATTTTCTAGAATAACAATTTCTTTAGTCAAAATACCATAAGCCACTTGAAATCCAAATCAAATTCGAGCATAGATACTTCTCTGTACGTGAAATCCTTTATTTTGTACATGAAAACGCCTAACGAAAGGGAAAATAATAAAAAAGGGCGTGATGTACCTGTCCCTCCACATTCCTTGTCCTTTTGACATGGTACCAAGAGCTGCCAGCGATGTGTTTAGGGACTCTAGGGACGCTCTGATCTCAGAACAAAATCTGGTGTGATTATGGATAACAAATTCGTTTCATGCGCATGCTTATTGTTTTTCTTAATTATCTCTCTCTTTTTAACTGTATAATACTTATTTCGAGTTCTATAACTTTCAGATAGTACGTGCAAACACGTGTGCTCTTGTATGTGGTTAAGGTATAAGAAAAACATTCGAAGGATCACACTGAAGAGCTCTACTTGCTAAGAAGGTATATATAATTCGTGATTTGTCAGATACACTAAGTATTCTGTCCCACTAAGCTTAGAGAAAGAATCCATTGTGAACGCAAGATACAAGAGTACCTTTGTATTACGGATGTTGCTAATTTTTCAGTTTATTTCTGCAAACAACTAGGTGACTCTCGAGCTTCGTTGAAATAAAAGTAATTGAAGTATGAATTTGTGACGATAACGAGTCTTAAAATGGAAAATATGATTTAAACAAGGATATTAACAATTATCGATTGATTGTTAAATAAAAATATTAACCCTTTCACTGCTGAAAATTTTCTCGTACTCTAATTTCGCTGCCTACAGGCGTTTCAAATATTTACTCGAGCTGTGTCCTTGACACCTATAGGCGCTTTGAATATTTTCTCACACTTTCACTTTAATTTAAGCCTTGATTCTTATTCTTCGCGTACTTCCACCTTGATCTTTAAAACGATAAATTACGAAGTTGAAGATTTGAATTTTTTAATTAACAAAAATTTCAATATTTCGAAACAAAAGTCTAAAGTCGAAAGTTTACCGTCATGCGTCACTCGCTAAACTCTGTCGCAGCGAAAAGGTTAACAAGACTGAACAAAGATATCAACAATTTGAATAATTATATTAAATCCACATTGCTCTGTAAAAAATATTCAAATCACATTTCTTTCGTGCTTAGTAGATCATTATACTATATATCCGGTTATTTCTCAACTGACTAAGAGAGATTCACGGTTCTGACGAACCGTTCGGTATTAGTAAAAAACACGGTGTCCATATCAGATAAACTTACACCGTCAAAGAATCGTTCATCCCAAGATATTTCAAAAAAACATGCTTATTACTAGATAATGTAGTATTTTCTACGGGCAAGACAGGATTTAAACAGGGGCACACCAAAGCGGCTGGGGTGGCCTTTGTTTAGCTGATTGGCTGATTACATAAAAAAGAAAGTAGATCAAAATAGCTTGCTGTGAGAGATATGATGCGTAACAAAAGACTGATTAGAGCACAGTTAAACAGGGGCACACCAAAGCGGCTGGGTTGGCCTTTGTTTAGCTGATTGGCTGATTACATAAATGTCGAACTGAACATTTCGAATGGCATTAAAAAAGAAAGTAGATCAAAATAGCTTGCTGTGAGAGATATGATGCGTAACAAAAGACTGATTAGAGCACAGATACTGATTCCGATTCAAAACGTTGGCTCCATTTCAAACGTTCCATGACAGTCGTGGCGGTAAAACAGTTACGCCCGTTCTATGCGTTCATTATGCGCTCGATTATGTAACACTGAATTATGTCAATTATTACGTACGTCCCATGACGGCCCTTTTACCTCCTACATAAAGAAACCGTTACCATACGTTCCATATACTTAAACGACTTCATAGAAAACTATCAAACATAAATCAGTTTCGATTATGCTCTATTACATCGTTTAATAATGAATGTTTTTGTGCAAACGATAATTTCGTTACTTTTACCAAATAAGTTACGAGTGACATTTCTTTTTTTAAATATAATACATATTTGTCCAATTCTTGTTCGTTATAATTTATACGTTAATTAAAAAAAGAATATCAGAAGCCAACTGTAAAAATTAATTCGAAAGTATCTCGAGGAGATAGAAAGTTCAAGCTCACTTTAAACAGCTTGTGCAAATTAATTTCAATAAATTCAGATTTTATTGTTACATATCAGCCAATAATCTAGAGGGTTAATTAGAGCAGGAGTCTTTCACCAACACACACATAGTGTCACACTATAATACACAACATTATTGTCCTTTATACGAACATTATTATTATTCGAATTTACGTGTACTTTTTACGTACGCTAATATTTGCGTACTATGTGTTTAGCACGTTTGTATGTACAATATTTCAAGAGTATTAAAATCACAATTAGAAGTTACTTGTTGCGCTTGTATATAAATATATGTAGCTTCGACAGTTTTCTTCTTTTTAGCCCGATACGACACAAAACGCTAATTATATCGTGTTCAAAGGAATATTCTATCCGTTCATATCAATTTCAATTCAATGAATCACGTCAACACTTTCAGCGAAGAATACATTTGAGTAACTGTAAAAAAAACTTCTGTGCACTAATTGAAAGATCGAAAGGAGTAGCCTGTGCCACAAAATCCATTTATATGTAACAATCAGCTGTTCGTTTTACAAGCGTGCAAATTTTAACGTTACTCCGAAAATTTCGACCGAAACTCGTGTAAAAACTGTACACGTTTTCTTCATTTGTATTTTATTTAGTATCAACACAAACCATGCATATATAGAGACCGTTTCTGTTTCTTCTATGATTTTTCATTGCGGTAATTCAGTTAGTAGAAGTTTGACTAAACATCTTCCTTTTTTCTTTTTTTTATTCGTCGTGCATATATATACTTCGCAAACAATTTTCCAATCAGTATGCAGAAGAATGAAGATTCTCGGATTTCGATAGACACGCACAAGCAAGAAACGAGTAAAAGTTAGACGACAGTACGAACAAAAATTTTGGCAAACCGATAAAAATCGGTTTTCGATTTCGATAAGAATCTGCAGATTAGAACCAGATCGAATATAATCTAAATGCAGATAAATCTCACAGAATGTCTGTTACTCGAGAGAACGTATTTGAAAATCGCAAATACTTTCGACATCTTTCCAAATACGTTGGTGGGGTAAGTTGTATATGAGATTTAGAAAATTTTGATCAAATCGCACGATTTATAGATATTTTTCAGCAAAAATTTTACGACACTTAAGTTTCACGATTTTGTCGAATTTTGTCGATATCGCGGAATTACGAATGAGCAATACAACCTACCCTAAACTGTATCATTTCGTTTATACGATCGTTAAATGAGCGATATTTATACAATTATAGAAGAGAAATAAATCAATACATACCCGACGTGAACTGGGTGCCTATTAATATCAACATTATCTGGTTTCAGATTGGCAGCGTTTGCACGTTGATAATTTTCTTTGGTGATCATCTCGGTTATTGTTGGTGCTATAAATTAAATTTACTATTAAATATCCCGCGTTTTCTTCTGCATCAAGGATCCGTCTTATAAATATTTTCCACGCTTCGAAAGATGTAACGTAAAAAAAAATGAACTGCTTTTTTACATAAGAAAATGGAACAGATTGCAAATCTACCACGAGCGTGACATCACTTTAAATAAACACTTATATCATCCTTTCAATCATTTTTTTTCTGTTTGTGGTAATGATCATTCTGTATGTAAATTATATACTGTACATTGAGAAAAAAGTATTAAAAAAACAAAGATTATAATTCAAACGATTTGAACATTAAAGTAATTCCTATTATTCGATTTATATTAGCATTTGAATTACCACTAAAGTTCAATATTACGCATCTGTCTACGTCTGTTTCATTACACACGAAGATCACCTGTTTTGCGGATTTTCCTTTTGAAGAATTTCGAAAATAGATAACATATTCGTCCAAGTTTCGTTATACGCAAAGGCTACTTTTCCCAGATTTTTCTTTCGAGGAATTTCGAAAATTTGCACGCATCTAATAAGTAATTAACGCAAGACGTGTCGAGGTAATCTAGAATTTAACGAAACATGCACGTCTTTTGGCAATTCGACGGTGATAACGATGCACCGATGCAAACAACAAACACTCGGGGCACCTTTTATAAAGCAAGACTCATTAATTTACGACCCTCTATCATCACGAATGACCTGTTATTATACCTCGTTGAACCCAACTTTACAATCGCTACCGCGCTAAGGATAAAAAATACAGCACTTCACTTGAAGCAAATTAAGTTGGCCTTGAAACTTCTTCCGTATTTCTACCAACTCGAAGCTGATTACCCGCGTTACGTTTTTTTCACCGACACGTGCTTTTTCACAGATAAAGCACAGTGTTATTAAAAAAAAAAAAGAGAGAGAAAAATCGTGTCAATGATATGTATATTAGATAAATGGAATTGGTGCAATTTACTAATTACAGTAAATCGTTACGAAATAATGAGGAAAAACTGAATGTTAATTTAGCGAATTTTTCTATCTTAACTACACAAGATACTGAAGATATTTTTAATCACATTTAATAATTAAAAACGAGGTTTTAGTAGAATAAGAAACACAGCCAAGAAATCTGAACTTGATTTACATTGACTAACTTAAACTATTCATTCGTTTCTGTCTTACTGCCCTAACTTCTTTCTTTGCGCTTATTTCCGGTGAAAAAAAAAAAAAAAAAAAAGAAAGAATAGTATTTCAACGCGGTAAACTTTGGTATGAAAATACACTTTGCTCGTTCAATTTCGAAGAGACAATTTCCTCAGAAATTTGCATAAGCAACTTACGCAGCGAAAATTTCCTCGCAACGCGAATTTTCCATCAAACTTACCTCCGGAATGTCGATTGTCTCTCTCGTCGTCTGTCACATTGACCCGCATCGAATCATCCCCCATGGATTTCATGTCGTCAACAGTCATGTATCGATATTGCTGTTGGTCGCTAAGCATCGGATCTTCACCTGTGATCAACGTGAAAAGATCGATTATAGCAATTTTTAGAAACAACGAGGCGAACGTTGCTCGCGTAAGATATCCAGGAGAGAGGAACGTAAACATCTAGAGTAGCACCGTCGAGAACTTGCATGAAGAACAGTAATGGAAACGTGGCGAAAGATTCTCCACCGATGCAAGTGAAAAGAAGAAAAAGAATAAAAATGAACAATGAGAACCTGCAAATAAATGGAAAAATCATTGCCATGAAAAATGTTCGCAGTCAAGCTCAAAGAAGCGAAAATAAAGTGTCGTGTTTTTTTATCATGTAACTCGGAGTGGTATCGTTAATTTCTGGCCTTACTCGGAGCATTGGAATATTAAACTAACGATAAACAAATGAAACTGTACACGATGTGTCAATGACTCGAGTAAACTTTTATATCCGTGTGAACATTTTTCCATACGCGAGATATGTACGCGTCCCATCGTCGTCGTTCCCCGCTGTATAAATACAGAAAATACGGCTTTCAGAAAGCGCTGTTCAAATGATATTGAAAGCAGCTTCGAGTGTTCCACTTCATAAATAAGTACTCGTAATTATCAGTTTAGAGAAACGCATAACTCAACACAAATATTTGAATAATTCTCTGGCTGTGCCAATCATTATTATCGATGCAAGAAAAGACTCTTCCAACAACTTCTAACGTATCATTTCCTGTTTGTTCGTGACACACACATTCATACGACGAACGTACATAATCACAGAAACACAATTAATCGGTGTAACGTCGAAAGTAGTTGATACACACGCACGCAGTGATAACACCAAATTTCTACCTTATGTTTTTTTTTTTTAAATAATTTCGAACGTTACAAAAGTTCAAACTGAAATATTCTAGTGACGAACCGAAGAAACTATAGTGTAAAAACGAACGCGTATAAACCGTATCGCATTTTTCACAAGACTGAGATCTACTTGGTTATCCAATCACCTTATACAACTTTAAACATACCTTATCAGATATGCCAAGAATATGGAGCACCAATTATCTAATAAATGGCCAGCCTGCAAATTTACTGCCCACGTTAAATACCCGCTAGTACAAAACCATACTAATCTGGCACAAATGAAATTGTACAATCGTATCCTTCCTTCGTTAGATATTCAAAACCGTACAATTTTTCCCCGTTGAATTGACAAATTATCCTCGATAACGACGGCGAAAGAACAACGGATATATATATGCTACGGGTGAAAATGTTACTAACAAGAACACAGTGGTTCCTCCTTTTACAAACGACAATACAAAAGAATAATCGCATATCTTCCGGTCTCGTTGTGACGTTTCCAGAGTGCTTGCTCATATGCATGTGGAGATGATGTCACCCGTTATCACGAATAACTCGAGAATGGCCGGAGGAATCGATAACATCCAAAATGAATAGAAACACGGACCAGCAACTGGTCGGTAAGGGTAGAGAAGGAGCGAGAGAGAGAGAGAGCACATGGAGAAACTGTAACGCGAAAATTCTAATTTTAACGGGTGTTCAAGGACAGCCTCTGCCGAAGCAATTCTGAAACATTCTAAGCCGCTTCTATCTACGAATAGTTGACCTCATAGGCAGTGACCTATATCTTCCTTAGTGTACGCGCACGCCTGTGAAAACTAACTATGTAATCACGTCGAATCTTGCTGAATGCAGTTAGCCGGTACCGTCATAGACCAGAATAGTACTAATTGTAATCAACGAGACACTTAGTTTATGTCACGTTGCATCGGCGTTAATCGAATTCACGATTCCACGTATCTCTGTGTACGTATGTGTGTATGTCGCCACCCGAGAGGGATCGTGGTGGTACACAAGAAGCACGAAGTAACTTTAAAAATAGCGTTACTCACTACGAGAAAGCTACCGAAATCGCAGTATATCCGTCGGTGATCACAATGACTGGGCATCGCCGCCGCTCGACTTTGACACTTTTAACCAGATGCTAAAGTTTCTGCCGCTGAACGTATCGTGATTCCGTTGCTCGCGTCACGTCACCGTCACGTCAGCCACAGTCGCCGCCGATTTACAAAAACCTTTTATCGAGGAGATATCGAATCGCGCGCGCCACCTCCGTGCCCCGTCTTTCAACGGAAATCCACGAAAGAAGCAAATCGTGTAATCTTTCTTTCCTTTCTTTGCTAAAGGTAACGCAAACTGGCTGGCCTTGATCGTTGCCCCTCCGATAAACGCGAGAAGCATGGCTTTCGCGATATCATCGTACCGCGTCTCTTATGTCACCGATGCGTCCGTCTCATTATTATGTCATAGGCGAAGATCACAGTCACGTTCCTTCTACCGCTCAATTAAATAGACCGGCTCCTCCAGCATTCCGTTCCTTTCTTGTCGTTTATGGCCTGCCACATTTGACACGTTCCACCGCCGTATTCGGTTCGTCCAAGATATATCGTTTTGTCTCGTGACGGGAATACCGATGCAACCAACTCCTACGCCAAGAAAGTCGCGCAACTAGGAAACTTGTTACTCTTTCGTACACCGGAACCACGGGTGATACGTTTCGAAGCGGATGCCACACAGTTCGCGGAGTACGGATCGTGATAGAATTTCGTGCTTGCGCAACGTGTCTTCGGGAAAAGTGTCGTACGGCACGTTCCTGCGAACAGCTTTGCACGTGGAAATATGTACGCATCTAATTTTGCTTCGGTATTTAGGTTTACCGCGGCGAAAAAGACATCGAAATTTACCGAACGTATACTTCCGTCTGTCTAACGCTCGCTGACGTTACCTCAACAGACGTAGAGACCAGGGGTGTAAACATTTCGTGGAAATTATTGCGCAAATAAACGGGGTTTGTGGTAACGTTTAAATTCGTTGGACGAGCGAATGTCACGGTGTTGAATGTTCCACGGTGCAAATAAACGATTCATTTCGTTCGCGCGTTGATGCTTTTGTAATACATAAATGTATTTCATTTTTCAGATAATTTCATTTGATTGGTTGGTCAGAGTATTCGTAGAACGTAATCTTGGAAAATTTTCACGAACGAGAAGAAAAATTCTTTTAACGCTTATCAGTTGTAATTCTTCTAATGCTTATAATATTTAGCTTTCGTTAGCACGTTCGTGTCTGGAAAAACAAAGTCGCGTGGCGGAGTCTTTCATTATCAATATGTAAGCAACGGTTATCACGTTGATTATACCGCATTAAATATTCCGCAAAGATCTCTCCTTGCATCCGTGAATTTTGTAAATAACCCGTTAATCCTCAAAGTTGCGTAAACGAAACATTTTACACAAAGTAGTAAAAATAAAATTACATTGCCTTGGCAATTCGATTTAATTCGATCTATGCTACATAGGATATAGTCTTTTATGTTTTGGCGTAAAAATTAAAGGCTGGATGCTATATGCATCTAAATTATATCTAAATAGCCTGGTAAATAGAAAAAATATACGTAGAAATAGGAAATGCTTTATCTTAGTTAAATATAATTATAGTAATTTACATTAGTTAAAA